ATATTTTTAGAATCTAAATTTTCTATTGCAAATTCTGGTATTAACATCGGACATGAAGGCTGTAATCCCATAATATCTTGAACAAATGTCCCAGCATGACTACTTAACCATTTATCTTCTCCATATTTTTTTCGTATCTCTAAAATTTGTTTTTTTGTTTCTAAATGTCCTTTTGATGTTGTTTCTAAAATAAAAAATTAATAAAATTAATAAAAAAATAAAATAATGTTATAAATTTCAGTATCAAAAAAAAATAGAAACAAAATTAATTTTTTACCCGTTTTTGTTTCTTTCTTTTCTTGTTCAACATCTGCAATAATGGCTTCTTTTATGTTAGATTTTTTTTTACTTTTAGAAAAACTTTTATCCATATTACTTGACCCTGCTAATTCACTTGTAGATGCAAATAAACTACTAGAATTTAAAGAATCTGACATTGAGGTATGAAATTCATTTGTTAGGAATTGTTTAGATTTAATAACAAACAATCGATTTTCTGCAATAATTTCCTTTTCTGATTTTGATAGTGGCACATGATCTAAAACAAACTAAATCATGACATTTTTTATTCATACTTATATAAAATATAATTATTTTAAAATTGACTTTTTATGATAATACATCATATCATTGCTATATACCTTGCTATTACTCAAACATGGATGTAAATGTTTTATAGCTAGTAATCGATATTTCGGATGATACGATAAGGGATTGCCTTCCAAGGATATCCATAGCAAAGCAGACATTTTTTCTAAAGGCCACAAGCTTAAATGTTCCATCACGCAATTATATGATAAATCTAATTCTGTTAAACATTCCAAATTTTGTAAACCTATTTTAAGAAAAATAATTCATAAAAATTCTTTATCAATATATTTATGCTCTTTAAAAATCATATGTATAATTAAACACAATAATTATTACCATTTAGATTTTCTATATAATTATTCTTTAGAACTAATACTTGTAATAAGTGTGATGCAGTTTCACTAAAAGTAGGTACTGTTTCAAGTTTATTATATCCAAGATTTACATATTTCAAATTTGGTAAACAAGATAATTGATCTGCAGATGTTATCAAATTATGACTTAGATCTATTATTTGTAGCCAAGGTACTAATTCTAAAGATATATCCAATTGTTCAAGAGAATTATGTGGTAATGCTAAATGTTTCAAAGAACTCCATATAAATCCAATACTAGCATCTCCTCCACAATTTGCTGTGTAAAAATAATATAATATATATTAAATAATATATTTTATATATATATATATATATATATATATATATATATATATAATATAATAATATAATATTAAATAATATTCTTTAATTATTTTTTAATTATACTTACCCAACAATTGTTTTAAAGTACAAACACCTTTTCTACCAGCACAGATAATACTTTCAAGTTGACTTCTAACATCTTGGAGTCCTTTCACAGAATTAATATTGATTTTCTTTAATTCTAGATGTTTCAAACACCTAAATTTAGTAATATCAACAGGGATATTAGGATTGTTTGGACAATAAATCAATTTTAGGCCAATTGTCTTCTGTATAAAGTCATGTAAAAATTTCAAGTCGCGAAATATGTCAATTTTTGAACTATTGCATACTTGAAATGAAGCTTCTAAATCTTCAGATCCATCCACAATTAAAGAAAAAGCTGAATTTAAATTACATAATAAGGTTGTTGATAAAGACAGCTTTCCCACTGAATTTAAAACTTTATCTCCATTTTGATGCAGAAGTTTTCCAAGTAATAATATTTCTTGCATGTTGATTTCATCTTGAAAATTATTCATTTTTTGTATTTTTACTTTATAAAAAATTTAAATGATAATTTTTGGATTTATTCCAATATATCTTCATATCAAAATCTGAAAAATAATAAAATTATATTTTTATTATGTAATTTATAAAAGAAATTTTTTCTTTTAATTAATAATAATTAATTAATAATCATTAAAACCATCTTATGTTAAAATTTTTCATATAAGTCTTCTTTTCAATTTTGTAAAATACAATACAAATAAAAAAATAATATAAATAAAAAAAATAATAAAACAAATTATTATTTTTTTTATATATTATATAATATAATAATACAAAAATTATTTTAATTCAAAAAAGATACTTAGATACTTAAATAAAATTTATTTTTATAAATAATATAATATATCTTACTTTTTTTTAAATCAATCATATTAATTATCATCAATTAAAATTAATAAACAACATAAAAACAATAGAACACTAAATACAACTATTATTTATAGAAATTTCTAAAAAGTTTTATTTATACATTTTTTTATTCAAATATTATAGAAAAAGATCTTTTACAAGATGCTTTAATAAAATTAATGACAAAAACTTACTAAATTGTCATATACTGCTTAGATCATTCAGTTTTGGTCAGTAACAAACACATACTTAAGTGACAAATGATGCAGGCAGTATAATTTCACGCATGTTATCACAAACAAGCAATATAAAAATATATATCAATAATTAATAAATGTTTAATACCATGAAATATTATCTATCATTTTGCTATCAAATAACCTTAATTTGCATTACTATTTTACATGTACTTTCATCAAACAAGGAAATCCTAAAAAAATATATACAATTATTTCATAATTAATATTTCAAGATTACTGCGTGGTATAATTGTTTCAATACAATAAAAATTATTTCAATACAGAATAAAAAAATAGGAAAATGTTTTTGACCTACTTTAAATTCAATAATATAATTAATTATAATAATTTTTTTATGAGCAACGCGATAATTAAATTATATCAATATATAAACTTTAATAACCAATTTCTATGAAATTTTTAACGCGACCAAATAATGAAAATGACATACTGACTACAATTTACATCATCATATAAAACTGTGAACATTATTGTCTTCATTGTCATTTTTTATAATACGTTAGATGGCAACACTAATCATTTTTCTCCATGAAATGCATATGATTTTACAAGTTTAAAGAATTATATTATTGAAATTTAATTTTAATTAAATATAATTTTTAAATAAATTTTTGGAAAAAAAATTTAATTGAACTTTATTGTGGAATATATAAATATTAAAGATATATTTTATATTTATATATTTTTTGATAATATACAAAGATAATCTAAAAACATTTACTTTAAATTTAAAAAAAACTGATTAATTTGAATATTATTTTTATATCGATATTAATTACATCATTCAGAAAATTAAATAGAAAAATTAGATAAAATTAGATAAAATTTCAATTTTTTTAAGTTAGATTAATTTAATTTAAATTAAGATTAAATTAGAAAGTTTTTTTATGTTTAAGTTGATATTTTTGGATTACATTTATCGAATACTGTAATGAAGAAATACAAAATAACAATAATGAAATTTAACCAGTAATTTTATTTTAGAACTAAATTAGGAATTTTCAAAACATAGTAACTGTTTAATAACCAAAAAATTTTAGATTTCATATCGACATATTGATTTTTGCAATTTTCAAATATGAAAAAAGAAATTATTATTTACAGTATATTTTTATTAATTTATGTGAATGCAAATAATGATGTAAAATTAAACAAAAAAAAATCATGGCGGGATAAAGATATACGCGATATGACTGATGCGGATTTAGAACACTTGTTAGATCAATGGGAGGTACATCAAATTTTATTTTAATTTTATTTTAGTTATTATAAAAAATAAAACAAAAATATTAACAAAATTAATTTTTTTGTAATTAGGAAAATGATGAACCATTGGAACCAGATGAATTACCAGAACATCTTAGACCTAGTCCAAAAATTGATATATCCAAAGTATTGCATTTAAAATATTTTTTTTGGCATTTTATAAATTAATCTAGCATATTTAAATATTATAGTGTTATATATTATATATTATATATATTACAGTTATATATCTTTATTATTTATATTTATGTATTATAATTTTTTTCTTAGCTTGATATGTCAAATCCTGATAATGTACTAAAAATGACAAAGAAAGGTAAAAGTGTAATGATGTTTGTGGATACTAATGAAGATATGTCTGCTGAAAAAGCTGAAATGATAATGCGAATTTGGCAAACTAGTCTTCAAAACAATCATATAATTGCAGAAAGGTATTATTCTTTTTCATAAATTTTAATTTATAATGTATTATATATATATATTTATATAATAAAAATAAAGATACTTACATAATTTTTATAATGTAGTTATTTATAATATAATTAAATTTTTTTATAGGTATCCAATTGATCAAAAAAGATCTGTTTTTTTATTTCATGAAGGATCACAAGCTGTAGATGCTAAAAATTATTTTTTACAACAGCCAGAATTATCTCATGTGACACTTGAAGGCCAAACTTATTTTAGAGATCCAAAAAAGCAGGTATAAAAATATTAAAACATATTTTCTATAATAGAGAATGAAGTTTAAGTTCAAAATTTAAATAATTATATATGTATTGAAATATATTAAATTATTGTATTTTTTTCTTAGGATGAAAATATGGCAAAAATTAATAAAATAGAAAATAAACAAAATGTTAAAAAGGACAATGATAAAAAAAAAATGGAGTTGTAATTTATTATAACATATAAATTTTTTACAGATATTAAAATATCTATAAAATATAATATAATATATTTTTCATTTGTATATTTTTGTATGTATATATATATCTATATACAAATAAGAACAATTTTTTATAAAATCTTTTTTTTTGTTTATAGAGATATACAATTTAAATTATTTGTATTTAAATATTTTTTTACTTTATTATCTTAATAAAATGTTTCTAAAATTTACGAATCGTATAATAAAGTCACAAAATAAATATGATTTACTTTTCCTATAAAAAAATAAATTTTTCATACAATTACAAATATTATTTGTTAATTATATTTTTATTGATTTTATTAGAACAATTACAAATTTTAAAAATATATTTTAAATAAGAAAAAAAAAATTAATATGGTTCATTATTAACATTAAAGATAATGGAGAGTAACAATTGATAGTATTTCATAAGTAATATTAAAAACAATTAAATATTTTATTGTTAATCACATATTATCAGCATATATATATATAAAAAATGATTATTAGATTATTAGATTTCATTTCACTCATTAAATTATGTAAAATTATTATATAATCAATATATATATATATATATATATATGAATAATAAATGATTAATTATTTATTTAAACTAGATTTGCTAGTAGAAGAATCTAGTTGATTAATGCTATCCATAGCTCTCACTTCTCTTTGTAATTCTTTTACTACATTTGCAAGTGCATATGGATTTACACCATTCTCACATAATCGAATACATATACTTAATGTTGTTGGATCCAAATTTGTATTTAATAGTTTTGAAATTTGATAAAGTGTTTGAAATGTTTTACGAGCAGCATTTATTTGATGATGTACAGGTTCTGGCATGCTGCCTCGATTTCTTTCTTTTCTAAAACAAATAAATACTTTCTAACATTATTGAAATAGGTTATGTTTTTATATAGAAAAATTATTTTAAGAATACGTACTCTCCGCTGTGAGACAGTTTGACGGTGGAACTATTACTATTAAGTTATAATTTAGAAATAAAATAATGAATATAGATAGCAAAATAATATTTAATTTGTATTTTTTATTAAAATTCTCATTTCTTCATATGACTTAATGTCACTATTTCAAAGAACTTGTTTCTATAACAACCATTTAAAAGTCAAAGTTACTATAAAAAAAAATTGAATCTAATTTTTTTGAAGGTTTATAAAAAAAAAAAATATTAATTTCATTTGTGAAGTTTATTTTAAAACTATAAGCAAAATTATTTATATTATCATAATATGTATTATAATATTATTATGCTTATGCTACTATTATTTTTTCTTTTTATTTTTAGAAAAAGAAAGAGAAGTAATATTTTATTTTTTACTATATTATAATTAAATAATATTATATAATATATTATAATTTATATAATTTATATAATTTATATAATATACTTTACTATAATACTACTTTACTATACTATACTATAATTAAAAAAATAACGCCAAAAAAAAAAGAAACGTATATATAATTTTTAAGCAATCCTAATTTTAAAATAAATATTTTATTAAAATTTGATTATAAAAAATCTTCTTTTTAAATAAATTTTCAGAAGATTAATAACAAATATAAAACAATAATATTTCTCAAAAAATAAAATTAAATAAAATGATATAAATAAATTACTTGATTGGAATTATTTATATTAATTATTAATATTTCAAAAATAAAATATATTGGATATAATATGGATATAATACATATATTTATTTTGTAATAATCATTATAATTCTGTGATGGTACATTGTGTTGTTTTTGTATTTATTTAATTTAATTTAGTTTATTTTGTTAATTGTTGCTATTAGTTTAAAATTATTAAATAGTTTAAAAAAGATTTAACGATTAATTATAATTAATTATAACGACTCCTTTATTTTTGTGAATTTACAATTTAATTGTTACGAGATATAAATTATCCATACGCTGCAAACGTGTATATATATATATATATATATTCAAAATCAATTATTGATACTTATAATTATTTGATCTAACATAAGTATAAAAAATCGACATAGACGCTAAAAATATTAGAGAAAGGCTGGAATAATAAAAAATAATACGGTGATTGTACCATGTAAAATCTTTGTTTCTCAATTAATGTATGATTATATTAATAATGATATTTGAATTCTAGAGTAATATAAGAATTAATGAACGTATTTCAGAAGAATTTAAATATAATGTATCATTGGAATATTTGAACATTTAAAAAAATATTTTATTGTAAAGATATATAATTAAGTTTTTTTGAAAAATGGATATATGTATATAATCTTATAATCTTAAAAACAACAAGAAACGAAAGTTTAAAAAATTATAAATAATATAAACAAGAATTTATCATATATATATATATATATATATATATATATTGTCAATTATAAATTTCTAATTGAATAATCTAAATAATTTCAACTATTTTTAAATAATTATTTTAACTATTTTAAATTTTTTGGCGGCATGAAATCAATCGCTAATCGATTTCATTTTAATCTAATCTTTAATTGTACGTTTTTGTTATAAAAAAACTGTTTTTAAGATTAACTATCAATTGTACATTTTATGAACTATAACCAAATATTTTGTATACACTAGATGTCACTACTATAACAAATTTTGATTCATTATTCGTGCTTATGCTATCATGACTAAATTTTAATCACCTAACAAATTTCTTAGAATTAATAATTAAAAAATAAATTACATTTATTAATAAACATTCTTTTTAAATATTTTCATTGCAAATAAATGAATTAATAAATAGAGATCAAAAAAGCTAGATATATATATATTATTGTTTATCCTAAATAAAATTGTATAGAAACTTAAATTAAATTAATCATTGATAGTTAATGACAAATATATATGTATTTTCTTTAATTCGATTTAAATTAAATCACTGGTTTAATTAATAACTGCTAATCAATTATTGGATTTTTCGTTTTGGATAAAGTTCTATAAGAAGAAGCAAATAAGTCTACTTACACGTTGAAAGCATTGTATCCTATAAATTTTGATATGATTGAAAAATTTTACAGATCAACAAAATAAATCCCAATAATCAATAAATTAATTACGATCTATATTATCTCTAATATTTATGAATTGACTACAATTACATTGACTTATATAATGTGTTTCAAAATATATTTCAAAAATCAAATTTTTTAAAAATAAAAAATGGATTAAAAATTTGAAAATTTAAAGATAGTTTTAAAAAAATTCATTTTTTATTTATATTTTGAAATATTCTGTATATTATGATTATACTCATTTCAACATAAAATTGATACATATTGATACAAGATTTAATAATTTAATTATCTAATAAATTCTTTAAAATTTGATTTTTAAACATTTTATGCTTCTATATTTTAATTTGACGATTTTCTCAATTTTGAAATGACTAATAAGCACGCACGATATGTAACGATCTAAACTACATTTTTTTAAAAAGAATAAGCTATGATAAATTGTTAATAAAAATATAATATTCATTTTTTTTATGTTTTAAAATTTGTTCAAATAAAATTATGTTTAATTTTTTGACAGAGAATTTAAATTTTCAGTTCCTTTTCCATAACAAAAATGATCATCAAATGTTTGTGTTTAAATCTTTTTTATGATAAAATATTGAACATATGGTATTTGAAAACTTTAATTTAAAAATATCATCAATAGTTCATTATATAGAGCATTTCCGGTTCATTATATAGAGCATTTCAGTTAAATACTTTAAAAAAATAAATATTTAAAATAAAAAGTTAAATAATTATAAATTTTTTTTTTCTAATTATTTTTATATATAATTTCATGATATATATAACATCAATGATACGAAATTGTTTTTTTACGGTATTCTGTAATCTAAATTTCGTTATTTCAAAACCAGAAATACTTTATATCTTGTTATTTTTTATTGAAGATTTTATTTTTCAGATTATTTGACATATAGAAAACTGTTTTTTCTTCTTTTTTTTTTTAATTATAACATTCGTTGTTTCCTCTTTCTAAAATCTCTCTTGGTTTTCTTAGAAAATATGTAAAAATTATTTAATCACATTAAATTGAATATGATATATACGCATATTGTTGTCAGAAAACATTAATAATCGCTTTTTAAATCGATTTCGCTCATTTTATTTTTATTCAATAAGAAATTCAGTGAAAAACTCTCATTCAATATTCAAACTTTTATGCAATCAAGAAATGTGTTCCAAAATTCTTACTTATTGAATTCTTCCGTTTCTGGATACAATTGACTTATTCAATTAGATGCAGAAACAATCTGCATTTAATTAATATTCACACAATACTTGAATTTGTTAACCGTGAACACTTTATACATGTTTATGCTTTTATTCATCATTAGGAACAATGGCTAACGGATTCTTATTTGTAACATACTTTCAATCTTATTTTGTTAACGATATAAAAATTAACATTTTCATCAGAAAAAAAATTAATCGGAAATGAAATTAATTGATTCCGTGGTTCTGAATCGTTTAAACAAGATTTCATTTTTTTAAAGAGATTTTTATTTTTGCTGATAAATTTTTTAAACATTTTTTAAACATTTGATTGAATGAATGATTATATAATAAAGTAGAGTTTTTAATAAGTATTCTAAAATTTTTTTAAATTTTATATAATAAAATTTTATAATAATAAAAATATAATAATAATAAAATAATTGTGGATAAACGATTCAGGAATTAATCTTTATTTTCAGAAATTGCAAAAAAATATATTTATCTATTAAGAATTAAAAATCTACTTAATTTTTATTTTTATTTTCAATTTTTTAACTTTTTAAAAATTTAATAACAAAATTTTAATTATTTTTTTTATATGAAAATAAAAAAATTTAATAAATTAATTGTTATATTTTTGTTTTTTGCTTAAAAAAATATAAAATAATATAATTTATAAATTTAAATATGTAATATACTACATATAGTAATTATTAGAACAGAAAGATCTGAACTGTTTATAGATTCTATCTGAACGCGAATTAATTATCTTTATTTAATTATATATATAGATAGTTGCTATAAGAACGCGCTTAGCAACTTACTTGTTTTCTTATTAAAACATCATGGTGGAAGGAGTTCATTGATTAACAAATAACAGTGCAAGAGTGTTATGAAGAGGTTAACAAACGGTTCTTATCCTAAAATTTTCCTAATTTGAGCCTCTACTTTAAAAGATTTACTACATAAAAAATTTATATATATATATACATATTATGTGTATATATATACATATTATGTATATGTATATATATGTACATATATTATACACATGTACGTATTGCCTACAATTTTTAATGTAAGGTAACTACCATTTATAAATCGTTCATATTAATTCTTATTCCCAATAATTTTACAAATTAACGTCCATTTAATAATGGATAATAATTAATAATTTTATAAATTGATATTTGAAAACTACAACTACTTAAGAGACTAAAAATTTTGATTTATCTACAAATGTTTAATTATTTACTATTATTAGTAAATAAATTAATTTATTTGGAATAAAGAAAATTCTTTGGCATTAAATGTAAATGCTTATAAATAGATGAAAAAAAGTTTTGAAAATCATTAAGAAAATTTCAAATTGGATATAAATATGTTTGCAAAAAGTTTTTTGAAAAAAATTTGAAAAAAGTCTAGTATTGTATATGTATGATTCAAAAAGAAAAACTAGTGATTTCAAAATCGACGCAAGGTGCCTATAGCTACTGATTATCTTATCGTGCGTTCAATCGACAATAAATTATACAATTCTTTAACAAAATCGTTTCGTGTAATCTCATACAATTATTTCTTAATTTCTTTTTCCTCTCAGTTTTCTTTCCTTTGAATTACTAAGTGATTATTGCAATTTGGTGTTTCGTTTTGCAGAATATAGATAATTATAGAAACATTCCTTTATTTTCTATTGAATAATATTATATAATCTTAATAATATTCTTTAATGTTTGCTTATTTATATGTTTGTATGAAAATTGTTTTCAACCAACAATCAATATTAGAAAACTGATTTTTGGTTATCACTTATATCTACGATATAATTCTAAATGACTTTTAAAATGGTTGAACCCTATAGACTTTATATGTATAAGATACACACATTTATATATAGTGTATATAATTAATATGATAAAGCAGAATATCGTTCTGCTCCTTTTTCAGGAGAACCACATTGTGTTCGTATACCTTTTTATTTCTCTTCTTAAATTATTTGAGATTATTCCAATAGAAAATTCAATCTTTTTAACATTTCTAAGGCTCTATCGCCGAATGCTCGTTGCATACTGAAGAAGTTTTTAATATGTAAATTGTTCATATAAGTTCATATACAAAATCAATATGTATTTCTTCGAAGAAATATAGCTTCTTTATCAAGCACAGAATATTATTAAATTTATTATGTGATAAAATCTAAATTTGGAAAAAGAAATTATCCTTCAAAAAAATATAATTGTTAAATTACACATATCGAATACATGTATTTTTTAAATATTTTTGATTAATCATTTATATCATCCTTACTGATCTTTAATAAATTTGAAATTATTTTGATTTTTTCTTTTACACAATCAGTTTTCACATTTTTAGCTTTCAAATTTTAATGGTATTATATTTAATATAATTCTGGCTACACCTGTATGTGTAAAGGAAATATTGCTCAAATTAATTATATTTCGCTAAAATTTTTATCAACAGATTTGAATCAAAGAGTTATATTCTTTAATTTAGCCATTTATTTAATAATTTAATAAAATTTAAAATTTAATAATTTTCTACATAATAATATAACTTTCATCCGTAGAAAATCTTTAGAATAAAAGAATATAAGAATATATATTTGATAAATTTTTTATTTCATTTGTTCCCAAATATTCATTATTTGATTTATGAAAAATTATTTTCAATAAAAATTTAAGAAATATCCTGTGCATAATTAATTATTCTTCAGATCAATATTTAATAAACATTTCATCATTTCCATTATTTTTCATATTAATTATAAAGATAAAATTGTCTTTCAATCGTATACACAGCCATACGTCCTTCCATCGCTTATGAAAGAAATAAAATAGGTTTTCAGAATTTGGCACGGAAGTGAAACAAGACAAAATGTTGTTTCATTTCGAATTCATTTCGTTTCAATGTTTTCAACGTTTCTTCAGTGTAATGTCAGATTCTTAAATAGTTTCTTCCATAATATTTTTGTTTCTTCGAAAATTATTAATATTTTCTTTATAATATATTAATCGATTTAATTTTTGCTTTTCTAATTTATTGAAATATTTTTTTTTAATTTTATCTCATGATAATTTTTGACTCGAGTTTTTAATCTCAATTCCACAATTGACAAGTCGTTTACCTCCTCTCTCCCAAAGGAAGTATTTTTTTTCCATTATAGTTTGGATATTATAGTTTAACGCTCACTTTACGTGACATAAAATAATTCTTCTGCAAGAAGAAATACATGTAGCTCGTTCATCTATTGATTACGAGCATGATTAAATTCTTGAACTTACAAGATTTTTAAGAATTTGATTTTTTTTATTTTTGTCTTTTTTTGCTTTTTTTTTAAATATTCTTTATTTTTCTTGAAATTGGAATTTTTGACTGTAGAATTTGGGAATCATATTTTATCCTATCCTGGAAAAAAATTGAAACATTTCAGATTATATTGAATTCTATTAAAAAAATATTTGCTTTTTTCTTGAGATTTAATTCTTTTTTTCTCTTATTTAGTTCATTATTTTTTCTATTTGTTTTCTAATCTTATTAATTCTTTTTAATAGAAGTCTATTTCAAATATTTCTTATAAAATGCTATTAAATATGTATTAATTAATTAAATATGTATTAATAAATGCTATTAATTATGTATTTTTTATTTATTTTTTTAATTATACTACCTAAAACTAATTGAAATTTATTTCTATTCAAATTATATTTCTATCACTTATAATTATATTATTGAAAAATATATATATATATATATATATCTCAAATAAGAACAAAAATAACAAGTTCATCAAATTGTTTACCCTTAGCAAAAGAGCGGAGCCTCCGGTTGATTCCACCAGTGCGCTGCTAAGAGCATATAAAGCTCTTGATCTTGAACGGTATAACCTGGAGGTGGTTGAGAAGGCAAAGGCGGTGGAATAGGTGGCAGCAAAGAGTAGGACGGCGGCGGTGGTGAAGGCGATTGGGATTGTGAAAAGGTAGTTGTAGTAGTAGAGAGCGGCGTTGGCGGCGTTGGTGGCGTTGTCGTGGTCATCACCGGGGGCTCTTCCTTCTCCGGAGATCAAAACGCGTAATCAAACTTTGCCAACGATCGTGTAGTCACGTCATCCTAAACAAATTATTTTTATTAATCATATTGTATTACCATATCATTTATTATAATTAAATTTTCATTTTAATAGTTATTCTTATATTTATATCTTAATAAAATAAAAGTTACTCAAAGTTTTTTGAGTAGCTTATAGTATTTTTTGTTATTGACAAACAATATATGAAAAAACGATATTGTTTAAAAAAATGATAATAGTGAAATAAAACATTAGTACCCTTAAACAACTCTCCATAAATTCTTCGATCGTTATTATACCATCTTGGTTTAAGTCAAACTTCTTGAATACCCTATCCAATTGCTCCCTCGCTTTTCTTTCCTCTTCAGCATGATGTCGTCGACCCATGAGCTCATGTACCGCAATCACTACTTCCCATAACTCGCCCCTGGTGATGCAGCCATCACCGTTTATATCATAAAGCTTGAAAATCCATCGTAATTTCTCGTAGATACTTCCTCGTAGCAAAGTCGATAAAATGACGAGAAGATCCTGAAAAAAATATCATTTTGAATTTTTTTTTCTTTTTATTATAAAAAAGTAAATTAAAAAATAAAAAAATAATAAATAAAAAATTAAAGAATTGATTAATTAAAATCGATAAATAAATAACATTGTGAATTTTAAAATTAAAAAATTATGAAAAAAAATAGAAAATTTTTAAAAAGAAATAATAAGAGAAAGATAAAAATTACCCTAAAATTCATGGCACCATTGCAGTTAACATCGAACGCTTTAAACACATAATGAGCATAAAGACTAGAATCTGCAATTTATATAAATAAATATTAAAATAATTTCTCAATAATTATTCAAGAGATAAGGAACTTTAATTAAAACTTACTGCCATGGGGGAAAAATTTTGCATAGATATCCTTAAATAAATCTTCGTGCACTACACCTTCTGGACATTCCTAAAAATATATCAATATGAATATTAATTTAATTAAAAAAAATAAATATTTATGAAAAATAGAAAGAATAAATATATTAATTCATTGGAAAAAGAAGTTTTCGTTGGCAATAATAAATTTTATTTGAAACAGATCATAAAATGGTGAAAATAAGAAGGAAATGAATCGAAGTGGATATTTGTATATGTATGAATATAATGCATAAAAGAAGCAACAAAAATGAAAATTCCATACACTATACCGAAATATGTGTTTGAAACATACCGGTAAGTTTTTTATTTTATTTTTTATAATTTTCTAATTGTCTAATCAGCTAAATTTCATAATTTTCAAATTTCTAAATCTTATTTAAAATTATTTAATCTTATATAATTTTTTAATATTCTAATTCTAATTTTTTAAATATTTTATAGACTTCTTTTTTTTTAAATTATTAAAAATTCTTATTATAATCATATTTTTTTAAGATTAATAATATAAGAAAATATATTTAATATTAATATCTTTTTAAAAGATGTTCAGATGAAACGATACAATTACCGACCGAGACTGAACGAACAATTCGGTCGGAAGATGTTTACTGGGACGTGGACAGAGTTCCGAGCTTGAAGACCCTTGCTCTTCGTGTTATAGCCTCTGAATGGAAAAGAAATCCAATACTGGAAGAATTACCGACATGCGAGGATAGAAATGAGCTAATAGAAATTTTGTCTACCGATTTGCCATTTGAATTGACCATAAAGAAAATTGAGGACGAATATTATTGGGAACGTTGCTCGAAAGCTAGGTGAAATAGTTGTAATCGAAAATCTTACTAAATATGTTTTTTAGAAATTTAAATTTTTTTTTTTAGAATTTTATAAACTTTTAACTTTGCAGTCAAGTAATAGAAAAATAATGGGAAAAAAGTAGGAAAAATAGTAAGAAAATTGAAAATTTATAAAATAAAAAATTAATAATAAATTCGGAAATAAAAATATTAAAATATTTTATAAAAAAAAATTTCAATAAAAATATAGAATAAGAATAGAAATAAAATAATAGTGAGAAAGAAAATAGGAAAATAAGAAATTGAAAAATTTTAAATAGAAAAACAAAAAAAATATTTAATTCTATCTAATTTAGAAATAGTGATTAGTATCTTTCTCGATAAAAGAAATTCTTAATTAATTTCTTTCTCTTTTTTCAGAAATTTCTTTTTTTTTCAGAAATTTAAAAAAAAAATTTCTCAAATCCTCATAAAAACATCAAATTTCAAATTTAATTTACTAACTAAAAAGTAGATTTAATTATACATATATATTACTATAGGTATATGATGCATTTTATACAGCATCAATTCTATTAATTTTGCTTGGCAATCTTTCAACAAACATCCTCTTAAGCATTCTATTCAATACACACATTTCCAACATGAGAATTATGGAATTTTCATAAAGAAATTTCTTTTTAGTTTATTTTAAATGTGACCCTAAAAATTTAAATGCGAAAACATGAAAAGATTGGAATTATTTTAGATGGGAACACAACGATTTATCTATGCATGGTAATTGTTGGCGACGACGTTATTGCGAGGGTATTTTTGGCGAATATTTGGAGAATCTCGATCCAACTTTCTTCGAAGCGCAAAAGGAAGAATGCGAAAAAATGATCGATCTCGTGCATAAATACGTGCATACCATACAGATACGTTCTCTCATACCTACAAGGTAGGTAAATTTATTTTAAAATATAAAATATAAACAAATAGAAAATATAAATAAGTATTTAAAAAAGAAATAGATATATTTATAAAAAAAAGAGAGCCAAATAATTTGAAAAGAATTTAAAAAAAATAACTATTATTCGATCATATAAAGTTTCAAAAATTAAAATCTTTCTTTTTACAAGTTTTTATGTTATGTAATCAATATATTATTTGCTTAAAATATCACAGGAAAACAAGGATATCTTTAAACGACGAAGACCCTTGTGAAAAAGATACAGAATATCCCGTTAATCACATCCCATTAGAAATTATTTTACCACGTTTTCCTTATCTTACGGAAATTCGTATTAATTTTGGACAGATTTATATGAACGACGGTTTCGAATGGAAAGATTTTGAGTGAGTTCTTTTTCTAAGTTATAGCATATTTCTTAAAATTTGATTTATGTAATAAAATAGATAAATAACTGAAAATAAAAAAAATAAAAAAAAATAAAGCATTTCCATTGAAGATTGTCTGGGTCTTGGTCGTGGGATTAAAGCTTGTGAGAAATTGAAGAAGTTTAGTTTAACTAGGAGCAATGTGGACCAATTACGTATTGCAGCTCTTCTTCAGGGAATGGTGGAAAACCATAATGTTCGTAATATTATGATAAATCTAAAAAAGAATTGCATATTTTAAATAATTTTTTAATGTTCTTCGTATTATGCATATAGTAATAAACTTAGAAAAATAATATAAAAGAAAAAAAATATAATTTATAATTTTTTTAAGAATTCTACCTTATAATCATCCATTTTTTTATAATACTTTGTATTTCAATATCTACACATTCTCTTAATATTTCAAATAATTTTCTTCTTTTTTTATAATGCTTCCATATGCTTTTCCATAATGTTTTTTTATCGAGCAATTTTTTTAATAAATTTCCTCATATTATATTTTTAATGTTTTTAAGCACAGATAGAAGAATTAAATTTCTCTCATTGCAAACTGGGAAACGTAGGAGCTCAGGCAATTGGTGAATTCATATTGTTGCACAAGAAGTTGAAGGTATTGAATTTGGAGAACAATAACATAGGACCGGAAGGAGTTGCTGGCATAATTTATGGGATGCTAAAGTTGGAGAACACGATAATGTTTAAAGTTCTGAATCTAGGGATGAACCCTTTGCTAGACAACGGGATGTTTCACATATGTGCCCGTAAGTGTACAAGGTATTGGGTTACTAACTTTATCCTCTTATGAGTCAATATTTAAACTGTCTACTGTATCGAAAGGCGATTGTATCCCATAGAACAAACACTGTGCTCGACTTCCATTCCATTAATCTCTCGCCGGAAGTTACCCTGGATTTTTGTTTGGCTTTTGCATTTCATCGAATAGTTAATCTTCCATGATTTATAACTACATATATAACTTACATAAATGCATAGAATATATATATAGGGCATTTAATATAATAAAAAAAATAATATTTATAATAATTATTATGAATATATTGCAAAATTAATCCTTATTTATTTCATCGCTGTTTTTTGTTTAGATTTATTTTTTCCTAAAACAAAAATGTTTATTATTATTACTTATTTCATTGAATAATTGAAAAAATTTTACAATTGAACAATTTCCTTATATCTATGTAGATCTTTGTCTAGAACTTGTACAAACTAACTTGATTTTAGTAAGGCTTATACAATTTTCAAAGAAGTGATCTTAGGCAAAGAACAGATTGAAATTGCATTCCCAAGAGTTCATTGTCTGTGTTTGTTTTAGTTCTGTTAAGAAACGAAAGTTTGGAAGTTCTCAATTTGAGTGCTTGCAAAATAGAAGCTGCAGGGGGTATGGCACTGGCCGATATATTGATTTCCGGTTCCATCAATTTCGAAAATTTAAGTATCGATGTGTCGAACAACGATTTTAATGAAAAAAGTGAGATATGTTCCAGTAAAAAAAAATTTCTTTTGTTAATTATAGTGTATAAATTACGTAGATAGTTAAAAGTAAAAAAAAAGAAAAATTAAAAAATAAATTTAAACAATTTATAATTATTTATTTTGAATGTAATATATTAAAAACATATTTAATTCAATATATATAATATATTATCAAATCATATAAAATCAAAAAAAAATTAATATTTTTTGATAAATTGTTTTGATAAATACATTCAGAATTTTAAAATAGAATTTTTTAAATTCTGATTCAATATTCTGAATTTTAGCTTTATTTTATTTTTTATAAATCAATTTTCTATTCAAATATTCATTGATTAAAGAATAATAATATTGTATATAAAATAATTTGTATATAAAATAAACGAATAATATAATGTGACTTTAGTTGGAGAGACAATTGACTTAGCACTGAAGGAAATTCCGTTTATAGTGGAATTCAAAGCTCGAATGTGTAATTTCTCGAAAAAATCAGAAAATTCTATCTACGAGAGTGTAATGAGGTAAGAAAAAGTTATATATTTTATTAATACGATACTTGATCTCTGATTTTTGTTATTTTTAAGAAATAAACTAAAGAAACTGAAAGAGAATACGAAACAGATGCTTGAAGAATCACAAAGAATTTCCAGCGATGTGTCTATTTTTAAACAAGTACTCAACAATAATATATTCAATATATAAGCTCAAAAAATAAGAAAATTAATAATAAAATGCAAACTTATGTACAAAAAATAAAAATCAAGAGTAATAAATGAAAGAGATAAAAAAAAATATAAAAATAATTATATTAAAAAATTATAAAAAATTTATTATTAAAAAATTCAATTTAAAAATAAGATAATATATATATATAAGAAATATATAAAAGAAAAAAAGCATAAAATAGAAAACATAGCATAAAAAGAAATAATACAAATTATAAACAAACATTTTATTTTGTATATACTTCTATTTAATATGTTCTTAAAATTTCTTAATATTATATTAAAATGATCAAAATTCGTTAAACTTAATTGATTGGATGCATTCAAAGCAAGTACAGGAAGAATTCCAATATTAATAGAATAATTAACATTTCTGCATAATATTCAATGATAATGTCTCCATTCCACCTAAATGTTCATCCATTGCCTGAGGAAGTATGAAGAAAATGATCGTCGCAATGGAGAAGGACTAATGAAAGAGTTGGCAACAAAAGAGCAGTGCAACGAGCGTGCAACTACTTCGAAGAAGTTATGCGAGAATCGTGAGTACGGTAAATTGCAGCAAAAGTGGGCCAGTGCTAAGACTTTTTTCATTATTAAGACAAACGGTTGTCGGAAAAAAATAAAAGATCCAGTTTCGTGCAATCCTAGGAATATTTTTCCTCGATTATTTCTTTTTCGTGAGGAAAATATATTTAATCTGGTTCAGTATTGTGCTTTTGTGTATTGAAATATAAAAAAATGATTTCAAGATTGAATCATATAAAAATTATGAAATTTAAAATATAAATTATTATTAATTTTTAAAAAAAGCACATTACTTTATAATTTTACTTAATATTATTTAATTGCAATAATTTTTGCATATTAGATATTAGATAGATATATATTTGAAATACCAAACATATTATTAATATTTCAGTTGAATAGAGGAATATTCCAATAGATATTGTACATATATTTTATAATATTTATTAAAAATCAATTAAAATGATACACTCTCTACCTATATTAATCATAATACTGACTTATAATTTTATTCAAAAATTAATTGAAATAAAATTATTTTTATTTTATTTTCCTAAATATATATCTTTTTAAATGTATATGTATAATAACTTTTATAATAGAAAATATACTGTTTAAATTTTGATGTAAAATTGGAATAAATATAATGATTTTCAAAAAAAATTTTAATTAAATTAAAAAATCAACTATATTGAATCTTTGGATTATATTTAAAAAATGGCGATATGTTTTTGCATAAAAATAATTCCCATATTTTATATAATATTTGGTCAACCGATCGAGATCATAAAATTTTATCGATTATCAAGAGGTTATAGTTCATAATTTCTTTGAAATATCTTTCATATTTATGCTCGAAGAAAATAAATTCCTTCGTTATATCTTACAGAAAGCAACTATCAATTATGAAATTCTGACATTAAAAATCGATTTTCACTTTTTTAATTTGATATTTACAACGGAAGTTCACATATTTCCGATAATTTAATCGCTCTGCTGAGATGAGAAATGTAATTTAAGATATAATTAAATGCGTAAAGAGTATTATTAATTTTAATTTTTTAATAAAAATAATTGTATTAAACACAAATTTATAATTCAATTATTTAAATGTTTTTTTAATAATTATATGTTCAAAATTAACATATAATTACTTATAATACATTATCTTTATATTTATTGAGAAAGTAAATTATGAAGATATACACTTCAATTACATGGAACAGTGCTATTGAATTCTATTCTCTCAAGAGAATATCGAAATTCCCCTTATTAGAATTTCAGTTGACATGTGAATTGTAATTGAAGCAGTAGTTACTATTGAAATTAATATGTAACATATATTGTTAACAGTACACAATTATAATGTTTGCATATTAAATAACAAAGATGCAAAGATGGACAAAGATGGATGAAACTTTCATAAAATATGAAATGAATCGAATTGAATTAAAGAAGAGATTAGTGAATTTTAGAAACATTGGATTCTTCAGTCAAGTATACAAGTATAGTTCTTATTAACCTCTATTTACAACATTGTTTGTTTTTTCATGTAATATAACAAGAACAAATAAAAAAAAATTGTTTCTACTTTTTCAACTAAAAAATATACATATATTTCCATAAATAATACGTAAATTTCTAAATTAAAAAATATATAATATTAAATACTTTTTTTAGATTTAAATTTTTAAGACAATATAAAAGAAAATATATATCAAAATTAATATCAGGATTTAAATATATATTCTTTAAATTCTTCTACATAAAATATCAATATTATAATCAAACAATATTTTTTAAATTTTCAATTCATATCTCATTTGAACCAATCATTATTTATTATTGACAAAAGAAAATTTACATAAATTTTAATGTAAGAATTCGTAAAAAAACTAAAATTGATTATCTAGAATATGATTATAACAGAATAAACTACAATAATTTAGAGAAATGCGTGAAAGTTCAAAGATATATCCGAGAAAGCGACAATTTAGCGAAAATTTCATTTATACTATCGATCTTCATGAATGTTATTATATGGGCCTAAATAAGTACTTACAATTTTTCTAAACGCCAAGGTCCCGGCCTCGACGCGGCCTCTGGTGTCGGCCTTCTTCGATTTCCACTAGATACCGACACACTCACTCCCGCCATATTCCCTTAAATAGAATCGAGTTCAATAGGACGAGCGTGGTAATACTCGCCTAACCTTTACGCTTTCATTGAAAAAAAGAGAAAGAAGAAGACTTCTAGTTCCCAAGACTCAAGATCGAGAGAGAAAGAACAAGGGAAACAATGAAGATGTTGTGTTTCTTCAATAACTCTTTCTTCGACAAAGAAGCTATGGAATAGAAAATATCGAACTTGCACTAATCAATTATACATCAATATTATAGAAAATACATTTGATTAGATTTTTCCGTGAAGATAAAATATGAATACTTTATTTTTAATTTAACTCAATTAAAACTTTTATTTATTTTTCTGATAACTAAAATAAAAATTTTATAAAATAAATATATATATATATATATATGTATGTATATATATATATATATACATGTATGTCTGTATTTATGTACATAATTATGTAGAAATATGACTCAATTTTATAATGAAACTTTTATAATTTTTATAATGAAAATTTTTACTCACAAAATTAATAACTTTATAGACATATATGTGGAATGATACGCAATTTCAAATTTTTAGATAATATTTTTTTGTTCATTGACCTATTTCGACCTATTTTGAAAAAATATTGTGCACATTCTTGCAATACTTTGCACAGACATTTTCATTATCGTGCAAACGCACACTCTTGACACAATTGCCAGTCTTAACGGCTCGAGTGGCAAGCGTATAGTGACGAAATAGCGCAATTAAAACATCTAAGGAACTCTCAAAAAATCCGAGCTTTTTTCGCCATACACATAAAACGTTCTAGACTCAGGGCTTTTAGTTTCGCGTCGCGTGTAAATGCTTGTCTACAAGTGGCTGCGACAGAAGTACGATATTCAACCTTTCGATCTTTTCAGAAAACCGATAGTCTTTTCCTAGGAGGCAATTTAATTTTTTTTATTTTTAATTTAATAATTAATTAATTATGTTTAAATATTCTCTTTAATATGAGAACAAAGGAGAAACATGGAAATTTTTTTTTTAAAAATATTAAATCCTTTTTAAGAATAATAAAAAATATAGTAAAGACATCTTTATGAAATAAATTACAAATAAAGAAAGAGAATATATAAATGAGTATAAATACTTATGCAATACAAGAAAAATATCTCTGAAAATGATATAGAAAATTATTTTATGATAATTGAATTAAAAAAAATATGTGACAAAATACATAAATGAAAAATTAGATGTTACACTTAATAAAATCATTCAATTCTTCTATCTTTATATTATAATTATAATTTCTTTTAATATTCAATTCATAATTTTATATCAAAATGCTCTTCTTTTCCTGTTAATAATTCAAATCTTCCAAAGTACGTCTTGTTATATATATATATATAATCTTTCAGTGAAATGGATGATTGAAAGTCGAGTCATATGTCTGTTCGAAAACTTTCAGTAGAATTTCGAAACTTTACAGCGTCTCATGAAATAGTAATCGTCGTGACACACTTTTAGGTCAGTAAGAGCATAAAGTTCAGATCGATAGTACTATACATGATATTTAGTTGGAAAAGTTAAAAATTATATATTTTCTAATGAAACTAAAGAAAAAGAAATATATACAATTCACAATTTTGAACATTAATAGACTAGTTGCAAAAACATTTTATATAAATATGTATTTTTATATATCTATTTTCCATTCATTATATTCCATCTATGAAACAACTGATGATATGATCAATGTATCGATCCATTCGAAATGTTCTAATTAAGATGCTGCACATATTATACAAAGAAAGCTTTTAATGTTTGCTGGAAATTGATTGCATTAATACAAACTGAATCACGTGTATACACGTTAAAATACGAATTTATCGAATAATATAATATTTATCGACAAATTATCATTGTCTACTTCATATTATAGTTATATCTATTGATAGATATAAAAAATCAAAGAGTTTGATGAATGATTTATATCGATAATTGAATTCATTAAAGAATCATGCATTAAAATACTATTCTAACATTATTATAATACTATTCATGCATTAAAATATTGACAATTCCAAAAAGTAAAGAATAATAGAGATTTTAATAAAATTATTATTAATATAATATATATGTGTGTATATATATATATATATATATATATATATATATATATATATTTACCAAAGAATGTCACTTTTCTTTTTCTTAATTTCTTTGAATATTGATGAACATAAATAAATATTTTTAAAACTTTTGGAAGAAATAAAGAAAAATGACAACAAGATAACAAGAACATTAGAAAATACAATAGAAAACTAATAAAAATATTATTTACATCAATCTTGATAATTTATATTAAGTGTATTTTAAAATACTAAATAAAAAATTTATAATATAGAAAAAAATGTTTTTATATGAATGAAAATGTTTTTTTCAAAAAGATTAATATGTTGAATTTATTCTTGGTTTATTCAAATGAGATAGACATCCTGTAATGTGGATAAATTCTAGTTGAAGAATAGAAAGTTCTATCTAACTCGATAAATTATTGTGAAATATACAGGTGGTTTTGTTACAGTTCCAAATTCATTTGTTTGAAAAGTTATATTCTCAATAGAAGATATGTGGACGAGCAACTTTGAACATGTTCCAAAAATTAAACATTTAACATAAAATACTATTTCTTTTGACTAAAATTTTTTTTATTTTATTAGTAAAATAAAAGAATGAACTTGGGTGTTTCTTGAAAGATGACCAAAAATATCTTACTTTCATTATGAAATTCATAAAGCCAAAATATTAAATATAAAATATTAAAAATATTAAAAATAACAGAAAATTTCTTCTAAATTCTAAAATAATTCTAATATTTTGCTTTTTTTCTTTTATATAACTATTCTGTCTAATATAAAATTGTTTTTAACTTAATAAATAAGTTTTAATCAATATTTTTGTATGTATTAAATTTTGTATTTGTTTTGGTTTTCAGAAAACCAAAAATATTCCATGAATATTTTAACATTTTGAAAAAATTTCTTTCAATCAATTAATTAAAAAAAAAAAACAATCTAACACGTTAAATCAGATTAAAACAACAAGTATTTTGAACTATCATATTGACCTGCCTTGATTACTTTCGATGTTTATATAGAAACAACATCAACCTTGAAGAAAACCTGAACTCGAGAAGAAATAATTATCGCTTTTATTAATTACCCTCAAAACGCTGTGTAAATACTTTATGAGTGACACGACATTGGCATGGCATTTTCCTTCTAATTTTCATTTATAGCAAAAATAAAGCGCGAATTGTTTCAATATCAAGGCCATATTTGTCACAGAAAACATTGGCATTGCATACAAAATTGTTGATTAAATTATTGCATAAATTATCTATTTTCATCTCTTAACATGTATAACCTATAAATTGAAAGACTTCGTTTAAAAAATAAATCGTTGGTCAAAAAAGTTATAAAAAAATTCACTTTATCTTTTAAATCCCCTAAATCCATTCTTTTTCTATCTATCTATCCTATTTTTGCTGTTTATGGAAATATTTATATTTTAGAAATAACTGAAATAATAATACACAAATGACACATGATTTGTTAAAGAATATTTTCAAATATTTTCAAAAAAAATAAATATGACATATATAATGGAAGAGAAAAGAAAGATATTCAAAGTTCTATAACGTTTACACTTGTCATGAATATTCATGGCAAATAAAATTATGAAAGAAAATTGATGGCAAGCCAGTGATATAATTGTCTAGTTAAAGAAATATAATATGTTACAATTGTATCTATTTTACAAAAAAATTGATGCAAGATAATAATCTCTACTTAAAGTTTTAAGAATTATTATTATATTAAATTTTATTATTATCAAATTCACTCTATAAAGAAAATTCACTGGCATACTATCATGCTGAAAATTGATCTCAAATCACTATGGAAAAACTAACTTTGAAGAGCATAAGTAAAGAATAGTTATGATTCTTGAAAAAACTTTCAAAGTGAAACAAATATAGTGAATTCGCTTCTTAATTTCGATATTTAAATTCGTTAAAAGAATTCGTTAATTTATATAGAATTAAACAAAATATAATGTTGGAATAAAAATAAGTTTAAAAAAGTAGCAAATGGATGATTTCACGTTTAAAAATAACTTTTTACCATTTTTTTTTTTTAGACTTCGTTTTCAAATAAATCAAACTTAGAAACTTTTTACAAAAATACAAGCCCCTGAATTTAAATTGTTTCTCATTGTTTAAAGATAAAATTTCAACTCGTAACCTACACGAGGGTAATTGAGAAGTGATCACACCAGCCAAGTATGATTCACATCCTTATTTGTTGTTCCAGGAATCACAACTCTGTATCACTAGCTATATTTTCGGATTCAATATACCTGTTTAAAGCCACGATACATCACGCGTATTTCTTGCCTAGAGAACTTGGTTTGTCGGAGCAATTCCTCAAGGGCAACCGGTCTTGTAGTCTGTTGTCTGGTTCTTGTACTCTCGAAGTCGAAGAGGGCCTCTTCCGGTCCCGGTGAATCCGGTGGCGTAGCCATTTGTACTTAATCCTATGCTTTCTGTCAACGAAATTTCTTCTTTTCTCAACTTGCTAGATACTGTCCTCTTGATTCATTTAAGGTCACACCACTTTATCCATCCCTATTCGTTAAATATCTTCTTACTTGATCTCTCAATTTTCGTTGATAGAAGAATAGAAACCGAGAGAGAGAGAGAGAGAAAAGAGAGAGAGAGAGAATAATAATTGACCAATACTGTAAAAACAAAATTTAGCAAGTTAATTGAAATATTTTTCAAGATATTAATTATTAAAACAATTTTAAATTGATCAATATTTATATTAATTTTTTGTTCTAATTGTTCTTGTTGTTCTAATTTAAAAGTACTTTGTTCCTTATTTAAAATTTTGTTATTAAATCAAAAAGTAATTGAAAGTTTTACGCCTCAATCTTAGGAGCGCGAAATTTAAATTTTGATCGTTGCGCGTCCATCAATCTTAAATTTCTCATACTTAACAAAGTATATTTCAAATAATAAAATACTTTTCTTATCTCAAAGAATATAAATATAATATCTTTAATATTTTAATTTTTTTAATATCAAAAAATATATCAAATTTTTAAAAAAACAAAATTATATTTTTAAAAATAATATTATATTTTTAAAAATATATTTAAAAATATATCATGAATCTTTTTTATTGATGTCAAGATGAAATGTTATTTTAAATATTTTTAAAACTCGATACGATTTAACCGATAAATAATTGGAACAATTATTTATCAAAAACAATGCAATATCATACCATATAAATATGCACTGATTGATATATATTTTATATCGCATGTATCGAGCGATATTTCTAACGATAGATGAATATGTATTCGTATCGGATGATAGTAATTACAAAATTATTGGATTTTTAAAATCCAAATTAAAATTAACGCGGTGAAACAGCAAAAAATATCGAAACAAAAATTTAAAAAAAAAAAAAAAAGAAACAAAAACATATCAAATCAAATATTTACGCATTATATATAAATTAGACATTTGAATAACGAATCTATACATAGATAAAAAATTTAAAGAAAATGAAAGACGTCACTTCCTCTCTATGAATCGAATGAAGCCAAGTATTGCGGATGCACAGTCTGACTTAATATCGTCTTATTCTACTTAAAGAATGAGTGAACATATCTATAATGAAATAATTTTTTAAAAAAGTAAAAAAATTAATTTATCAATTTAACATTTTTTTAATAGAATTATAATAATTTTTAGAGAATGTGTTTATTCTTTTAGAAATGTTGAATAAGACTTACTGATTAATTTGAGTATTTTTTAAAATATTTTTTTAGAAAATATAAACACACTTTTTTCTTCTTTTTTAATGTAATTATATAATATATATTATTTTAATTATATAAAAATATTTCTATCTTCGTGATCTTTCAGAAAATAATTGCTCTCATAATTTTAAAACATTCTGAATTATTCATTACCTCTATTTTCTTTATTTTCTATCTTAAAATGCTCATAATCTAGATTATTATACGTGTCTTTTATCAATTATAACAAAAATTTTCAATAATCATTTTCCAAAAGAGAATAAAAAAAAAATTGTGTATGGTTAACAAGATTTAGGTTACTCAGTTGATGTCTATTGAATCAAATACAATGTCACAATGCATTTTATAAAGAAGAGAAGAAAAAAAAGATAATAAACGCGTGAATGTTCGTCAAGCATCGTTGCTTTCTTTCAAGAATCGATGATTGTTCAAAGGATTTCTCTAATGATATTTTCGAATCGTTTCATTTCAATTCACACTCTGCTGAATTTGAACAGATTTTTTTTTCAATAATGAAATTAATTTTACTATAACACGTAGCCAACCGTTGAGGGACGTGTACCACATTTTATCTTATCGTTTCTTAACGAATTAGACTTATTTTATTTTACATTTTATGACAAATCTTCTTCTGATGATCGAAAAAAAAAATTAATTTTTATCGCTTTTATTATTATTATTTTTTTATTTATTATTATTATTTATTTATATTATTATTTATTTATATTCTATAAATTTTCTTTGTTTTTCTCTATATCGTTTATTCAAGTCAATTTTTATAAATTTTAAAAATTTAATTTTCATTTTAAGAAATACCTTTCAGCATTTTGTTTTCAACTACAAATAAGTTTCAATTTATTTCTAAGATTTTTTCACATGATTGCTAATTTGAATATTGATTGCTAATTTGAAATATTTTATGATTATATTTCTTGATAAAACAATCCGTTCTCTTCTCTCGGATATGTATACTTTGTTAGCTTTCTCCGATACACAGACGTGATCGATGAATAATTCTTGAGGAAATGAATCACTTAAAGTCATGTATTTTTAACCAAAGTTTTGTAAGAAAACTTTAAAAAATTATTGAATGTAATATTATTATAAATTATTATTAATTTATAATACTAATGTATTAAAATAGCTATAATTAAATACTTAATTTTAATTATTAATAAATTTTTGTTTAAAAACATTTTCTCGAAGAAGAAAAATTAATTATTCAACTTTTTCTTATTACGATTTTATTTTCTAAATAATATAAAATACTTTCAAGATTTTCATTTTTCAATTCGTCTATTTCGTATATAAACAAAAAATTTTTAAATATGCACAAACAGCTATCCTGTTATATACACATATATATTTTTTTTAAATTATAACAATCTTTAAAAAATCTTAAATAAAAAAATACTCAAAAAAAAACAAAATCAATATTCTGAATTAAAAACATTAAAATTACTATAAAATATTAAAATTACTATAAAATATTATTAGAAACGCTAAAATTCATTTATAATTCATCGCAAAGAAAACGTCAAAATTATCATTTTTAAAAAATCTATTATTATTTTTAAATCAAAAACAAAAATTTTTTTAAATATCCTCAAGTATTTCCTATTGAAAAAAAAAAGACTAGAAAAAAAAGTTATTAAAATATCTTTGTACTATATACTTTTCTATGTAAAAAGCTGCTATGTAACAAAGGCGATAAATGTTTTGTCGTTTTCTACAAATACAAGGAAAACGGTTGAAATGCTCGAATGAATCGCGATTGTACACGTGTACCACGGGCACAAGGATCGATAGATAAAGCGAATTTTTATTTTTCATAGGTGCATAGGTGATATATATGGCCATTATGCAATACATATGTAAGTAAAAGAGGATACATAGCCTCGTTACTGCGTGGTGTCTATGTACCATTCAATATAGACATATATACATATCTACATAATATACCTATACAATATAGTTATTCAGTATTTCGTTGGGAAGTTGGCAAAAGCAGTGCATGCGCGTATTTCCGGAATAAATTTCGATACTCTTCGTTTAAATCCACCCACGTTTACCAGCACACTCTCCATCTCAACTCCCCTTTATCGATTTTTTCGGTAAAGGGTGGTTTTGGAGGATGTTATAAATCTTGGTTAATCTATGGATTCTTTATAAAAAAAAAAATTTTTCTGATGTTAATTTTAATGATGTATATAATAATGTATATAATAATGATTGAATTTAAAAAATTTTTGATATTATATATACTATATAATAATACTATATATAATATAATACTATATATACTATATATAATATACAGAAAAAAAGAGTGTAATGAAAAATATTTTCCTTACATTAAAGTATTTTATTTCAAATTTTTTAATTTTTGTAAATTACTTTTGTAATTTATAATAATTATAATTATATATAATATTATATATATTTTCTCAATTTAATTACATCGCTCACTTCTCAATTTTAATACATCGCTTTTATAATAATAGTCTTCATAACTAATATAGAACAAATCATAAAACATAAATAAATCAATTTTTTTATACATTATGTAATTCATAAAAATTATATATATANATTATATAAAAATTATATACAATTATATGTAAATTTCAAATTAATTTATATTTAATAATATAATAATATAATGACAACTTAAAAATTATAATGATAATTAAAATGATTGTCGAACTTATAATCCAAAAAAAAAAATTTTTACTAAGGAATAATTTTTTTAAGAATAAAGATAGTATAACTGATAATATCATAATAAGGGAAAAATATGAATTTTTTTCAGAATTTACTTTTTATATAAATATTCTAAATATATTATTTAAATATTCTTCTACAAAGTTTGTAAAAGTTGTGCAAATCGTTAATTAGGATCGTTATTATCCACTTATACAAGATTACGAAAACTACTACAACTATAAAAATATATTAATTAAATCGAGAAAATGAGTCTGCACTTTTTTATTACATTGTAAAATCATTAATTACACTATATATAATATCGTAAAATATAAAATTTAAAAATATTCATATTATTTAATTATTAAATATTTTCAAACTTTTTAATATAAAAAATAAAATAAAAAATATAATATATATATATATTATAAAATATATATATGCATATAATATTTCTATATATATATATCATACATTTAAAAATATTTTAAATAACTTTAGCTTAAAAATGATGCTCTCTCTATTTCTCTTTTTCCTTTGTATTAAAAATAATTCAAATTTTATTAAAGTTCGAATAAAAATGATTAATGATCTATTTCCATTATTAATCATTATCCGAATATAATTATTTATTCTGATTATATTGTGAAAAGGAAATCTTCATTGTCAAAAGTAAATTTTCAGATTAGCTCGAGTACTATTAAAAATAGATGGTGAAGTAAACCGAATATCATGCGTGCAAGAAATTAGCTACCACATCGCATTAAATCTTTCGATGAATTGTTTTTCTATGGCGATCATTTCAACAATAAATCCAAATTACATCTCCGTTACTATTATCAATTCTACTCATTTGTTTTTGCTTTGACAAATAATATAGACATAGACATATGAATTAAATATGAAAATTCAATTATTAGATCACAATTCTAAAATTAAAATTTAAAAAATTATGTATTTATATTTTTTTAATTCTATTTTTAAGAAAATAAAATATATACAGAATATATAAAAATATATAAAATATTAACGATCATTAACAATTTTATAGAAAAAAACAAAGATGAAAAATATAAAAATACTACGGGGAATATAAAATGCAATAATATAAGAATGTTTATCTTTGGAAAATCATATCAATTATATTGATGAAAATGATGATCAATAAAAATGATAAATAACTAATAAATAAAAATGATAAAATACTCGAAAATAATATTATTATAGTTAAAAAATTCAATATTCTTTCACATTGACCAAAGTCAATGAAAGAATATTCAATTCGAATAATTTTATATCTAAATTGGTTTAAATATTTTATCCAGAAATTATTAGAGATATTATTATTATCTCTCAAAAAAAGTTTCCATTTATTTATGCAAAATCATCTTTTATTCTAAATGAACGAAATACAAATAGTTTTTCGAAATTTTATGTTAATCTTTAATGTTAATATTTTATAATATTTTAATGTTGATATTTTATTCAAAATACGAGTTGTATGACACATTGGATGACAAACAATAAATTTTATTAAACTATAGAGAAAAACAGTTCAAATATTATGCCTTGCCAGGAATAATAGAGACAAGGATAATTTGATATAGCAGAAAACACAGTAGAATAATGTTACGTAATATTCATATACATAATATTCATGATTTTGATTATTAGTTTTGAAAAAAAAGTATTATTTCCAAAAGAAATTATTCTGAAATTATTTTTTATGTGATTTTAAATTAAACGAAAAATAAATAAATATTTCAATGAAAATTATTTTAATTTAATCTAAAAATATTAATGCTAAATAGAATAATAATGTTAAACAGAACGTAATAACTAATATTTATAGAAACTACTGTCTTAAGAAACAAATAATATTTATTTAATTCATTATCTGCGATTTTATATTTCTATACTCTTTAATAACATTTATATAAATAATTAAACATTAAGTATTAAAATTACTTTATTTCTAGTAATCTAATTCTCAATTTCAACCAATTGACATCCATTTAACCCTAAACAATTCCTCTTTGCTCAATAATCCATATTAATCAAACAATAAATTCAAAAATTTATCAAAGTTCAAGTATTCTCGAATTCAAAACACGCATCCTTTTAACCTCTCTATAATAACTTATCTATCAAACAGGGAATATATAGTTTCCTCGAGCGCAAGCAAGTGACAACAATCTCGGCAGCAAGATAACAGAAAAGGAATCGCTTACGTTTCTCGGCGTAGAAAGAAGTATCAGAAAACTTGCTGGAAATTCAATCAGAATGAATAATGCGATGAAAGAAGACCACAGCAGAAAAACAATGGATTTCGAAGGATAACGCGAGCACGTTCAGGGTGAACGACCCTAGAACGAAGAGATACGATGTTTTACAAAGGACCGGAGAAAGAGAGTCAGTGCTGACCCGTGCACCGGCATACCATTTATATCCTCTTCTACTAGCACACACGACACTCAGTGGCAATACTGCGCAACTACGCAGTCGGCGGCAGACTGGATGTGGCCGGGCTAGACCAGACCACGCATCCTCTGCCCCGCCCAATCATCGCTCTCCTTTTTCACCCTATATTATCCTTTCTCATACAATACTAACCCTCAACACTACTCTCAAACCTTTCTACCCTTAACGGACAAATTTTTTTTTGTTATTCCACTGATTGTTTTCTTTGTTTCTTTATTTCTTTTGTTTTTTTTTTATGTCTGATAAAATATCAGCAACAGTTCTGTTCAGAAAATTACTGGAAAATAAATAATTGGCAAAAAATAATATTGTTCAAGGCTAACTTCGTTTATTTTAGAATTATAATTTACTGAATATATATATTTTATTATTCAAAATTATTTCACTATCGATTAAATTGTTGAATATATTTTTTTATAAAATTAAAAAATGAAATATATTGTTTACTGTATAATCTTCATTAATAATCTTCAAATCACTAAATCTAGATAAAATGGAATAATTAAATGTCCCAATCAAAGAATTGAAGCAAGTAAATTATTTTCTTTGGTTCTCTATTTATCTCTACATAGAAATAATTATACATAGAAAAAATTTTCTATAATATATTATATTAGATAAAAAAAAAAATTTGACATTGAATATCTTGAAACTACGCGCCAAAAGCAAATATAGAAGAGAAAGGATAAAAATTGTAGCATCAGCGCCATCTATAGAATAAATCAGATGGAACGCACGTAAACAAGGAGCAAATAGAATTGATCATTAACGCCATCTCTTTAGTCTTAAAGATATCTTTTCAAAAGTAGATAAGAATTGAGAATCATCGCCATCTTGTAAATATTAAAGTTTCATTAGAAAGTATTTAAGAGATGGAGCTAAATCTAAATTCTTACTCTAATTTACTCTTTTAAAAAACCATAATTTTAATTTAATTTATTATTGGAGAAAAGGCAACGAAGATTAATTCTCATACCTATAACATAGCCTAGATATAAAAAACTTTCATTTAATCTTCCATTAAATTGCTTCCTATTTGTACTTAAAGCATTGTGCCAAAGTATTTAAAAATGGCACTGATTTTCCAATTTTTATCATATTTTTATCTTACTTTATAGATAAGAAATTGATATTTTATGGAACTTATTACATAATCTAAAAAATAATCTTCAAAAAGATCAAAAATGTTTTTGCTCATTAATTATATTATAATTTAAGAATATATAAAATTAAATCACTCAAAAGATACAAAAAAAAAATTAAACTAATATACTTCATTATAATTTTAGAAATTGAAACAAGAATATTATTCAACATCTTAAATTACAATATTTTTATCTACGAAAAATATAATCGCGCTCGCAGCCAATTAGCTCATATTATTTCTTATAAAATATATAGTTGTATCAATGACATTAGCGAGACATTAGCAATGATATAATTATATATTGTATATTAAATAATATGATTTCCCAGGTCTCACCGCTTGGAGGTTGCTGCGAATTGGAGACCCACCCTGACCACGACGTCCCATCCACCCTCCTTTAGTACGAAAATTTATTTAATCACAATAATTCTCCTTTGTATGGTATGTTTGCAAAACGTTCAAATTTTTGATCGTTGTGCAACACGAACACCAAAAGGAGTCGAGAGAAAACCGTAGGAGTCGAGAGAAAAACGTAGAGAAAACCGGCGCGGAAGACTAAAGC